ATTAAATAAGAAGCTATTATTAAGATATTATGGGAAAATATGGTCTGGGAAAAAGGAATGATCGGGGAGACAGACTGGTGGTATTTTGTGCAAAACATGATCTGATAATAACGAATACATGTTTCGATCATCACCCAAGGAGAAGGTACACATGGAAAATGCCAGGAGATGGGGGAAGGTATCAAATTGATTTCATCATGGTAAAAAATAGATTTAAAAACCAAGTCAAAGATAGTCGTAGTTATTCTGGTGCGGATATAGACAGTGACCACAATTTGATTATGATGAAATGCAATATCAATTTTAAAACAATTATTATGTCGGTGACAGATTATTAATTGTTTTATTATTTTCATGATACAATTTATATTAATTCGTATATTATTATTCTGCTCACTCTATTTTACACAAATTAAAAATCTCATATCCTAAAATTATTATAAATCGCTTAATAATACTACAATTTAAATAATTATTTTTTTAAACTTGCAGATAATTTGATGATAAAATTATTTATTTTAACGTTAACCAACCAATTATGAAATTTAAATCTGTGTAACAAAAAACATCAAACATTCAAAATTATACTTATATAATATATATTATATATACAATAAATACATTTGATAATAGAATGAAAAGCAGAAGATAAATTGTATAAAATATCTAAAGAATATAATATTATAATATAATATTATCTAGTAATCGTCATAAATCATAATTTACATATTATATAAATTAAGCGCGGTCTATCATTGTATATTAATTTAGACATTTAGAAACAATTTTAATTTTTTAATTTTATTTGTGACTATAAATTTTTACAGAAAGTAGGTATTTAATAAATACATAAAATATGTTTTATTTCATTTTATTATTATTCACTTAACTATACCCTTTTTACATTTTTTTGTGTGTCAGTCATCATCTTTTAGGATAGTAAAATGTAATAATTATTTTGTAGTTAAAAATTTATAAAATGTTCAACTTAGCTAAAGATTAAAAATTTAAAACAAGGGTCCACGTAAATAGGTTATATGTATATAAATTACTTTATTCACAATAATATCATCAAATATACTTTGTAATGTCATAGGCTGACTGACAGTTTTCGCTCAAAATCGTTTTTCTTATACCTACAATGATATTATATATCATTGAATTCAAATTTAACACCATCCATTACAGTGACCCTCTTGTAACCTACTGTACAGCAGAACGACATCCACTTACCCACCTTTTTTGTCGTTATAACTGGTTTATTTAAAAGAAATATTATTCGTGGGTACCTATATATTATTATTATTACATTTTATACATATAAATATATAATGACATTTTGAAATACATTGTTTTCCTCAAAAATAATTCAACTTACAGTATTACTTACATTAAAAACAATATGAATATAATATATGATAAAATAATATTTTATAGGCATAATTTTGTTACAACACAAATACAATGTAAGTACACGTACATTGATTATTTAAATACTAAAAAACTAATGTAAGTACACTTACATTAATTATTTAAATACTAAAAAAAGCTGCATTTATAATCAATAGTAATACCCAGTCGTAGGCCCTCGCTGGATCCATCCCTGAATCCGTCCCTGACACACAGCACCTACACAAGGCCAAATGTAAGCTCCTACACGAATAACATTTTTACCAGAAAATCAAAGATACTGTAATCTCCTACATAGACATTTTTACCTGAAAAAAATTGGGTAATATCCTACACTCCAAAATTTTATTTGAATATACGATCTTGGAATTGAAAAGCTCAATAAATGATAACCTGAAAATAATAAATATAAAAATATATTATTTTTATAGATAAAATACTAACACTTGGTTGATGATTTATTTTAATATGATTATTATTTAATTGTTATATATATATAGGTAGCCGAATTGATTTGTGTATAATAAGTATTAATGAATTGAAAGACAGATATTTTATTTTTAATGTCAAAAATACGATGACATATTTTTTTCTACTGAATTCTTTTTTAACATTATTTTGATTTTTATACCTATATAACTAAGTCATTTGATTTCTAATATTTAATTATGCATGGTAATTAATTAATTAAACGATTTAAGATGGAGGAAATTATTAAATTTGATAATTTATATAAGTATGCAAGAAGGAAACAACAGCGGTACAAGCGGTGTCCACCTTTTTAACAATTAATTTGACTGTTTTTTTAAAACTTACTATTATTTTACTATTGTTTGTAGGAGTTAACACTATGTTTTGTAGGAGTCAACACTATGTTTTGTAGGAGTTAACACTATGTCTATGTAGAAGATTACCTACATTTGTAGGAGTTCACCATTCCCCCTATACAATACTGCAGAGCGGTTACCCTCTTTCCCACATTTTTACTTCATATTTGGGCCGGTTTATAGGCAATTCAGAGACTGAAACCGAACCTAAAAGAACCGGTTCTGGAACCGGCACCTTTAAAATATTAAGAATCGGAAATGGAACTGAACCTGAAGTACCGGAATCCAACCGGGATTTTTAAATTAAATAGGTTCTTTTAGGCTCAAAAATAAAATAATTTTACTTGCCATAATTTAATGGTATTACTGTTTTGTGTATAAATTATGTATGATCTTATGAGTTTTCTAATATTTCTTATACTATTAATTATTAAACACGTATTCCGGATGGGTATTTAAAACTATTATATTTTTCTGTACCTAAGTTGTCTGGAACCAGTACCAAAATTATTTGGAAATAGTACATTTATTTTTTTTTTACCAGAAAACCAGAACCGAGTTATTTTATTTTTGAAGAACCAGTACCAGAACCGATATGGATAAATTCAAAAGGTTCCAGTCCTTAATAGGAATACTTAATATAATATTTTATCAAATTTAATTTTATAACCATGGTTTTCACTTGTTTTGACTAAGTAAAAATGAATTAGTCCAGAAATTTCAAATATAGCACCATTAAATATTGTAATTTGTTGGCAAAAATTATAAGTACATTTATCTTTTATTAGATATACAACCTGTATGCATTTTATTCATGTGAATTCAACATTTAAACAGTTACCTGCCTTCCATCATATAATTTGTATTATATTACATGGATTTTTGGCCATTTGTACTTGGTAGGTATATCTATGTTTTATAATGACAATGTTTTATATATTATTGTGTTAGGTACTTATAGGTACTGTAATTAATATCATGAATTGCATAATATTATATACGTACAGGACTTAGGTAGTACCTAGTAAACATTTAAGTGTATTAACATTAATTGTATTCTAGATTTTGAAGGCATAAATTAAACAAAATGTTTATAATGAAAGTAGACTGATATTTTAGGGAGATATTTTCGTGCATTATCGATTTTAGTGAAAACCAGCCGGGAAATTCTGTTCTGGCTTAGTAGTTTACCACGTCATTGAATGGGTCACTGTAATGGATGTGTACAATTTAAAGTTTGAATTCAATAATAAATAATTATATACTCAAAACGATTATGAACGGAGACAGTTTGTCAGCCTCAATTTCTAATAATATAAAATGTTCCATCATCAAAATTACCATCAATTGTTTATTTTTCTATATAGGTATTACGGTATTTTAAACTAATTATTACAAAAACATCGCCTATAGTATAATATTATATATTATTGTCATTCATTTTGAAATCAAGTAGAACGGTATGTAAAGGACTAAGGTTTAAAATGTTTCTAAATATTTGAAAATTTTTTTTTTTTCAACATTTATTTGAATATATACAATCTGTAATAATTTTTACAATTAGCATATGGGATGGAATACAATTGACTTTGACGGCGTGAGGTGAGTAGCTACCCAGCAGTAACACTCGACGTCGTTTGAAAATTTGATATTTTAACTGTACTTATATTGTGTACAGAAAATAATAATAAATGTAATGACGAAAAGTGTCGAGCCCCTGCGAAAAATATCATTTTAATTACAACAATAACTAATATCGTACCTATTGGTTTTCATTAGAATATAAGAATAATATCATTATTTTTCAAACTTCAATGATTGTCTATAAAAAAAATTGTGTGTATTATACTATAATACATTTTCAATATTTTTGATTGCTAGAAAAATCTTATATGAACTCTTATATTCAATTTTCAAACAAATTGTATGATACTTATTTTAACAACAAAATAATTTGTAAGCTTTCAAAATCTGAATTTTTACTGTGACTTGTTGATACTTTTAGAAAGCTGTAAGACTAACTTACGAAGGACCTTGTACCCATTACATTTTTCAACCTTTAGCTCAAGTTTTTAACCACAAAATAATATGTAAGTTTTCATGATTTTGACAAAGTTATCAATATTTCAAGTTCAAATTTGTATTAAATGTATACCAATAAATTTTGCTTATTATGTTTTGAATAAGGAATATAATAATGCGGATCGACTAAAGATAAATATAAACAACACAATTACTTACAGTAGGTAATAATAAGTAATATTTGAATATTACTTATAAGTTATAACAATATAACACATAACAATAAGTATTAAGTTTAATACTTTCTATTCATAATAAAATATCGAAATTCGTTAAATGATTAAATTAAATTGTTTTTGAAGTTTCTACTTGAAATGAATAAATAAATAAATTTCACTGAATGTTTATATTAGAATTTCCTATACACCATACAATTTTTAAAATATTTTGACTCTTTTTGAGCTGTTTCCGAACATTTTCAGTTTTCATTTTTTTTAGTTTTTTTTCTAAAAATATCAATACAATTTTATTTGTAAAAAAGAGTGAAAATTTAATTCAAGGCTCCTGATATATTGTTACAATAGCACTTGAAAAATATTAAAAACACATGGGCACAATATTTTTTTTATAAGCATTTAAATTTCGAATTTTCACAAAATTTATCACATTTAAAATTTAATAATAATTTTGTAGTTAAAAATGTATAAAATATGTTAATACATAATATAAGCCATAAGGTACGTACGCGTACGTAGTGGCGGCGAACACGGTATAAAGGTGTGACAGTGGTCACACCTTTTTTAAGGGGTGGGTCGTGGGTGGTTAGGTGGTACCATACTACCATTCAGTGTCACCTATATGCAATACAAAAGTAGTAATACTTAATAGTATATAAACATTGTAAATAATAAAATTGTATAGCACTATAGCTAATACAGCAATTAACAGTAGTGTAGCCAAAAATTCAGGAATCTTGTTTGTACATTATGTCAGTAATCTAATAATAATAGAATAAGCGGGTAAGCCATAAGTCTACATAAATAAACGCCGGCAACGGCCATGCAAGACGGTCGTGACTC